TCCCCCCCGTCTCTGCAGCAACTATATTACACACTCCCAACTTTTTTGTAACGCCTCCCAACCATTCTCCGCGGCTCCCCCTGATAACTCCAGCACGCTATAGGTCTCTTAAAACTGCGGGTCATGTAGCTGCTGGTTCCTCCATTTCCATAAGTGCCAGCAGCATGTGGCAAATCTTTCTGCCCCTTTTCCTTCACGCTGCCTTCTCTGGTTGCCATTGAGGTTTTGTGTGATCCAATCTGCCCAGCTCTTTTCAAAGAAACTCCTTTGCCTCCCTCGGTATAGGTGTCTTGACTCATGAAGTTGATCTAAATCTTAAACGTTAAGTCGGCATATTTCACAGAACCCATAGAAAAAGTAGCTTTCATTTCATCTGATATTTTGCAAACATAAGTTAAGATAAAAGTTAATTAGTGTAATGTAATTTATGTTTGGATTTTTTTATAAAAAAAATCAATTCAACAAATTGAAACTTGTTTGGATGAGTAAAAGAAGTTTACATATAAAAAAATTAATTTAACAAATTGAAACTTGTTTGGATGAGTAAAAGAAGTTTAGATGTAAAATAACTGAAAAAGACATTAATTTTATTATATATATAATGTATATAATTGGATAATTTAAGAGAAATATTAAAATTAAAAGTATAAAAATAAAAGAGATAATGTATTATATATAAGAAAAAATTACTACCTCCATTTTAAATATAAGAAAAATTGTTCGGTTGGATGAGCAAAGGAAAAGCAACTTGTCTGTAACGCACGCACTTCACAGGGTTCAAGAGCAAAGCTATTTGATAAAGACAAAAAGCCCAAGGTAAACAACAGTGTCTCTTGTTCATTCCATCGAGTTTGTGCGATTTAAGTGATTCTCTCAACAAAAAAAAAATAACCAATATTATATACTATTTCTGATGCTAAATATAAGAACTATTTAACTAATTTGAGGAGATTAAGAAAATAAGTTAAGTTAGTTATTTGTAATAAATAAATATTTTCTTTCCTAAAATATCTTTACTAATCAAGTGTATTGACTAGAATTACTATTATTAGAAGGACCACCTTGATAAAAAATGTATCAATATAGAAAATAAAGTAGATTGAGGTCTTATATTTTGGGTCAAAATAAAAATCAAATAAGGTTTTATATCAAAGATCGGAGGTAGTATATAGTAATTTTTTTATTATTAATGTCATTTGATTAGTGGAATCCTCCAAAGCTTGAGCAAATTAGCGAAGAGATCGTCAATCAATACTTCATGAAGTTTGAAGACGAGAATTGGGAGTGCCTACAACTTCCTCACAGATCAAACGTACCCAGAAAACTCTTGATGATTGAAGCCAACTGGAAATGGAAAGGGCTTTTAATTTATCTCAAAAAGAATATTTATTATTATAGATTGTTTAGCATTATTGAATTGAATTATAATGAAGCGTCGTAAATTAATTAATGCCAGTAATTTGGTATTTGTAAACCTTCAACTTAGTTCCTGTGGCTGAAAATTTTCAATTTAATACGTGAGAGGAGTTAGGAAGTTTTCATTACTCACTAACCTTCCGATTCTTATTATTATTCTTCCGTGGGAGACAGATTTTCTTCATCATCATATATAAATAACAATAAAAAGGAATGAGTATTAAAACAAGCAAATAAATAAATAAAAACGTACTAATTCTGTGAATATAGACAGTCGGATCCCAAGATGAAGAGTCCAAAGAAATCCTCATCTTCTACCCATGTTATTGGTGAAAGCCAAACGTCTTTGGGGAATAATTTGTAATTAGTTTTGACTTTGTAAAGACTTAAATTGAGATTTGCAAAATAAACTAAACTGATTTTTATTATTACATCAGGAAGAGGGTTTGAACTTTGAACTTCTGCCTACGTACACCTTATTCTAACTATCCCAGCCAACATGAAGTAGCTAAGACGGATTATTTTTACACACTAAATGAAATTCATAACTAAGATTTATTACATAGAAATTGAAACACAGTTGCACAATGACAAATAGCTCACAAGACGATCCCAAACAACACTACTTTGATCTTGAAAACAAACCAAATATTGGATTGATACTAGTAAAGCCTCCATCAATGGCCAGATTATGCCCACTTACGTACTTGGATTCATCACTAGCCAAATATAGCGCAGCTCCAGCGACGTCCTCTTCTTGCAGATAAACCCCTTCAAGATTCGTATAAACACTACTAGAGAATCCATCACCACCTAGTTTAAAGAAATCTTTTGCAGCAACATTTGGAATGACATATGGAGACACACAGTTCACTCGGATCCCATATTTCCCAAGTTCAGCAGCTACGTTCTTGGTGAGACCCACCAAGCCATGCTTAGAACTGGTATAAGCATGAGTGGCAACCCCTCCTACACTTGAACAAACACTTCCCACATTTATAATGCTTCCTTTTCTTTCAGGAATCATAACTTTAGCAGCATGCTTGGTTCCCAAGAAAGGACCCGTTAGGTTCACGCTAAGAACCCTGTCGAATTCGCTCACTTCATTATCAGCAATGCTTGGCTTAGCTTCATCTATTGAGGCAGCATTGTTCACCATAATGTCAAGCTTTTGATCCTTAGAAATCGCAGTTTTGACCGCAGTTTCAACATCAGATTCTTTCGTAACGTCGCAGTGCACATAGGAAGCAGATTCCAATCCGATATCGTTGCATACTGCTTGCCCTAGTTCGTCTCGAATGTCTGCAACTATGACCTTTGCCCCATGTCTAGTGAAGAGCCTTGCCATGCAAGCTCCAATTCCCCCGGCCCCACCAGTGATTAATGCTACTTTCCCTTGCAATCTGAAAATATATCCACCACAGAAATATTTGCACATGAAATAATATAATAGAAGATAGCTAATTACAATATCTTAATCTGGAATATGATGGAAGAATGAGAAGAGAGCACAGAAACACGGATTGAAAAGCCATATGATACTCGGCGTTTTTCGCACAAAAGCCAAAAACAATTACACCCAGTACTCCAGTAGAGAATTCCTGACATATATACAAATTATTTCAACATATCATTTCGCGTTTGAGTGTGTACCTTGTGGCCTCTAGAGCTAGCTGTGGAAGACTTGCCATGTCTACGAGAATTATAGTTACAGACGCAGTATTTGATAGCTTCAAAGGGACTCTGAAATCTTGAAAGATGAAACCATATAAGAGCCTCCCTGAATTGAATAGATATATAACCACAACCATCTTAAGATGAAATTTGACAGCATGTTCGAGGAATTTTCCTCGTCTATTTTCGTCAGATGGTCGGTTAGATATAAATTATTTGGTTCTGTGAATTCTTTTTAAGTAAATTGTCAGAACAGCAATATAATAATGGCACCCGGGACTTATGGGATTTTAAGATCAATATAGCACGTGGGTTACATGGCACTTTGGCTTTTGTATTCATGTATATTGGTTCTACATTATAATTTAATAATATATATAGCTAAGTTATATAATTATTATTTTATTAATAGAAGCAAAATGTTATGATTTCTTAAGTTATAGCTTTCGGCAATGTATAAAATGGCACACGTGTTTTTATTCGATTTTAAGATCAACATATAGCACATGGATTATACGACACTTTGGCTTTCGAATTCATGTATATTAATTATTTAATTTATTCTTTGTTATATTTTAGTAATATATATATGTAGCTTCTTTTGTAATTATTTCTTCATTAGTAAAAGTAAAATGTTGTGATCTTGAAGTTATACTTTTCGGCAATATAAAATGGCACGCGTCTTTATTCGATTTTATGATCAACATAGCACATGGATCACATGTCACTTTGGCTTATGAATTCATGTATACTGATTATTTAATTTTATTCTATATTATATTTTAAGAATAAAATATGTAACTTCATGTATAATTGTTATTTCATTAATAGAAGTAAAATGTTATGATATTTTTCATTGTTGGACTCTATATAAACCTTTTTTTTTTGGGCCAAAGGACTCTATATAAACATATCATCAACGCATAACACAGTAGATGAAACGTTGTTAAAATCTGCAACTCAGGGCTTTAATTTCGAACGTAAACTAAAGGATAATGATGCAACAATGATGACATGAGAAGATGATAAGTTAGAACACATGGCCATGGGTGGCAATTTGATCGTCCTTAAATATTTCTTCCTTTTTTTTAATTCATTCACATACATGCTGAATGAATTTTAAATATATGGTAATTTTAAATAATTCGTAATTTATTGTTTATCTAATACACCCAATCAGATAACACCTTGAATTTGGTACTATTTCTTCTTCTTCTTGTTTTTTTTTAATAGAAGCTATGCAGGCTTTTTGAGATTTTACATTACAAGTCTACGTTATAGTTTTATAAAATCATCAATTCGACAAGCTTATTCATACGTGTCAACTTAGTTTGGATATTTGGTACTATTTCTTTATTGTTTATATAAGTCGGCCATTATATGATTATTATCAGGCTATTTTATTTTATATTTAACGATCATGCTCTAGTAAAAAAAATATTTAAAAATTATGAAAGCATATAATAAGCCAAAACCTTCGTTGTTGACATCAATAACTGAGATTCAGAAGTTTTGAATTAACCAAAAACGCTTTTTTTAATGAAAAATAACGTGGGCCAAATAATCAAAACCGGTAATGAGCCCTGAAAGCATTTGTTTCAATTTTTAAATAGCTCTGAACTGTTAATCGATTAAAAAAAAAAAAAAGTCAACTTTAAACACAAATCATGTGTTAAATTTGTATTTAAAAAAATTTAACTTTGATCACAATCAGAGGCTAAATCGTGAGGAGCACGCCGCTCCATGTGATGTACGGCAGAGACGTGTTCCCATCCCTTCACAAGTTGACTTAAAGCACTAGGACTCCTTAACATTCTATTCATATATGCACATCCCAACCATATCATTAGAGTTCTGCACTTTCTCGTTCACTCTTGTTGAGAATCAGTGAGTCATTAATTTCCTGAAATATGGCTTTGACATTAACCTTTGTGAAAGAAACAAACCAGGTATCAACTTCTTCCAATGAATTTTTGTTTTTTTTAGCAGACTTCTAATCTGTCGTTTCTATTTCCCCTTCTTTTTACATACCCTTAATAATTTCTATTTCCCCCTGCTCCAAAGAGTTTGAAAACTAGATTATTTTCCTTTTTTAAAACTTATATATCATATACAAATATAATATAAAAAAGATTGAGATTTTATGTTTAAAGTCAAAATAAATTTTTGAACTAGCTCTTATATGTTTTTTCATTTCATACTTTACCATTAATAGAAATCGAGATAATATACGAGAGTGAGAGGAGGCTATATTGAGCAAGAAACATTTTGATATTTTTCCCAAAAAAAATATACTTTTATATTTTTTAATAAAACATTTTTTAATTTGTACTCCTCCCATTGCCTTTTACAAGCACTAGATGTCTAGATCAATAGGCCAGATAAAATGTTGAATAATAAGCCGTACATAGTATTTTATATTGATTTTTTTTTTTGTCGGTGTAGGTACTTTTCGAAGGAAATTCCTTTGTGAAGGAAGTGATACTAAACAGGCCTCATAAGCTGAATAGTCTCAATCACGAAATGGTTAGTCCAGTTTGCTTCTGTTTATTAATTAGCCATCTCTATTCTATTTTCTCCCAACACATTATTTTCTTGGCTTTTTTTCGGCAGATAGGTCAGATGAAGGAGCGATTGACGTTGTATGAGAATGACCCATCAGTAAAACTCATAATTTTAAAGGTACATGAGAAGTTGAAGATTTCTTGACCGTAATCGTTCGTTATTTAGGTTTATTTTTAAAAAAATTTCGGGTGCTGGTGTAATATATGGAAGAGTTAGGAAAACTATAACTCCATAACATAGATAGACTTTTCTTAATTAAATTATACTCTTAACATCGTACTGATGTCTTATGTCTATATTAAAATTAAAGTTGTAATTATATACAAAGCATTTCTGTTCTCTCTCTGTTTTTTTTTTGGACTGAACGTTTCTATTCTATTTGAATGCAGGCTAATGGAAAAACTTTCTGTGCCGGTGGTGATGTGATATCAGTAGTTACTTCTTCAATTGCAGGTAGGTAAAACGTTTAAAAGTCAACATTTTTTTTCTATGCTGCATAAGGTTAAAATAAGCATGTTACTGTTATATATATTGCGTGGCTGTGTGTGATTAATTTTCATTCGAAGTTCAAAGATGTTCGTGTTTAAAATAGTGGTGTGGTTGGAAATAGGACACTGGTCTTATGCAGCAAGCTTTTACAAGAAACAACTCACATTAGATCATTTGATAGCAACCTACAAAAAGCCAGTGGTGAGCTTGCTAACCTCCCCCCAGATTATATATTTTAATTTCTAAGTTCTAATCATCTGAAAGAGAAATTTAATGGTTTAATTAATAATATGAAGGTGTCTCTCATTAATGGAGTGGTCATGGGAGGAGGCGCCGGTCTATCCATGAACACTAATTTTAGAATTGTCACTGAAAGAACTGTATGTTTCATCTTTTCTCCTTCTCTCTTACATGCTCACTTCGATTTTATATATTCGACATGTTTTACAAGAAAGTCGAGTTATTTTGTTCAGGTGAAAAATGAGTTATTTTGGAAATACCTTCTTACTACATTCTACTTTACTGTGAAAGGATTTAATGATAATGTCTGCGAGGGGAAATGTGACAGACGATTCACTTTTAAGACAATTTTATTGCTTCAACTAAGTTATATTGATTCCAATAAATTTAATAGAAGTAACTTATATCTAAAATTGGAAGAAGTAAATAAATTTCAACTTTTCAAAAAAAAAATTGTGCTATGCATATTTTCTTCTGAGCGGAACACATCCTTCATTAGCTATTATACATGGTTAATAATACATAATTAGTAACTAGTTAGAGTAATATTGATATTTATATTGAATACAATTTATTGTGGTCATTAGACTAATCTCGTACCATTATTAATTTAATCAATAGGTATTTGCTATGCCAGAAGTATCTATAGGACTTTTTCCAGACGTCGGTGCTTCATACTTTCTTTCGAGGCTTCCTGGCTATTTGGGTAATACACTAATCTATCTTTCTGAGTTTCTGTCTAGTACTCCATTATCAACATTTAATTTTAACTGTTCGATGCAGAAAATATTCTAATAACAACTATACAAAACAAATGATCCATGTAATCGTGGCTTATATAGATTTTATCATTCTTATTCAAGCAAATATGCTTATTTTGATTCTCCAATTTACATCACATGCATATATAGGGGAGTACCTAGGGTTAACAGGGAGACGTTTGAATGGAGCAGAAATGGTTAAATGTGGCCTAGCGACTAATTTTGTCCCTTCCAAGGTATACATATAAACATATATACAATTTACCCCTTCACCTGCATATAAATATATATATGTATATATTCTCTCCCACAACATGAAACTACAGAATAATGCGGCATTATATATTATCATCACTTTCCTCCATGCAACAGAAGCTAAATTTGCTGGAAAAAGCCCTAGAGTCTGTGACAACTTCAGATATTTCAACGATTACTGCATTAATTGATTACTTTACTGAAATAGCTCATCTTAAGGAAGACAGCCCCTGGAAGAGGTAATTTTGTGATTATTCTGTTTCTTAATATATACACACTTTTCTCATAGCGCAAGACACAACTAAATGATAGCACCAGCAAATAAGCTGAATTGTTATGCATATGAATTAATTATGATAGTGCTTCTTTTGAATATATATGCTTGTGCGTTTTTCCCATCTATTTGATTTGCTTATCTTGCTTTATATATATATATATATATATATATATTAAATGCTTAGGATCATAGTTAATGCACCACATGTGGATGAACAATAAACCAATATTATCAGTCACAAAAAAAGTAGGGATTTCATTGCCGAACAACTTTTTTTTTATCAATTCTCTTGTTAGTTTACAGTAAAAGTTCATTTGACAAATTGTGCAGAATGGACACAATCAATAAATGCTTCTCAAAAGGAACTGTGGAGGAAATTGTTCTGTCCTTGGTACGCATAGTTGAATTTGATTTTTCATTCTTAGAAAAAAGATCAAAATGGGGATTTGATTTCTTGGACAAGAATATCTTGTTTGAATGTCATAACTTTCGTAGGAAAAGGAAATGGAAGTTGATGGAGCAGAAAAGTGGATTGCAGATGCATTGAATTCTATGCGTGCATCTAGTCCTACAAGTCTCAAGATATGGCTTAGATCAGTAAGTACATATACTATGATGTAGCACTATATACTATTAGAAACTGCATTAAAAAAAATTGCAAATTAATGAAAATGATGAATTAATGTGATGAGGTGAGAGAAGGCAGAGTACAAAGCATTGAACAATGCCTTCATCGGGAGTACAATATTAGCTGCCATGTCGCGCGAAGAACTGTGAGCAATGATTTGTATGAGGTCAGTATTAACTCCAGTTCTAAATATAAGAATCATTTTGTATAGTGTGTAAAGGTCGTATAATTTAATTAAAAAGAAGTATCATTAACGTGGTATAGTTTAGTTGTCAAACTGTCCTCTTCACCGCGTGTCCATAATTGTAAGTACCAAGGTATCATGATTATATTCTATTGTGGCAAGCTTTATTTGATTTGAATAAGCTTGGATTTTATTGCAGGGTTCCAGAGCAAAGCTATTTGATAAGGACAACAAGGCCATGGTAAGACATCGGAGAGAGATAGAGGGTTTAATTAGCTTTCAATGTTTGTTTGATTCTGATTGTAATATTGCATAACAATTTTGGTTGATGTTACTTATGTGTTGGGTGTTTTGATTAGTGGGATCCTCCAAAGCTGGAGCTGGTTAGTGAAGATATGGTAAATCAGTGCTTCCGGGAGGTTGAAGACGAGAATTGGGAGTGTCTGCAACTTCCTCATAGATCAAACTTACCCAGCAAGCTGTAAGTGAAGCCATGCGAAACAGTTTTGGAAAGGCCTTTTCACCTGAAAAAGGATATTTGTAATACTTGCATGGGATTAATGTCTTGGATGTTGGGTTTATTATTTTAGTCTTGCTTTAGTTAATAATATTGCACAATTTAGCTTGGACTTGTCGTAGTCGAAAGCCCACATGAATTTTCTAGAATTCTTTTCTAGGTGAAACTGTTAAAGCTTCTGGGCCAAGTGCTGGGTCCAAAACAGGCAGGCCCGGATTCTTGTTAAGCAGAAGATAACCAAATTAAAGAAATGTTTAGATAAAAATCAAACTATAATTTTAAAAATTAATTTTATATAAAAATAAATATGTGAGATAAAATTTTATCTCAACTTATATAAAAATATTTAAAATTTTTTTTTTTTGGATATCCAAACAACCCCTTGTATGAGGTCAGAATATTACAAATACTGTCAAAATGGAATTTGGAAATGTTTTTGATTTTACACTATTGCCCCTGATTTGAAGGAAAAACCTTGACACAATCGGTATTTCAAAATTCTTTTTTAATTACGACATTGTTCCGATTGAGCAATCCGGACCGCTCATTCACACATTCAATCACAGCCGTTCACTGTTTTCCACATTAAGCACCGTCCTCTTCCTTTGGTCCCTCCTTCCTCCTTTCATTTTACGCAAACCGCACCCACTCCAACTTAATAGCACAATGAACATGACAGAAAAATGTCAGAGTGGCGGAGAGGTGGTCACCACCGACCTAAGGTCATGTTTGGTACGTGATATTATGGAGGTTGGTGCTAGGATCGGTATTAAGATTGCCTATTTTGTGGTGTTTGGTAGGAGGAATTGAAGATAACCTGGGACTGGGCAATGTCACAAAGGTGGGATTGTTTAAACCCACCATCCCCCGGTAATGGATTTTCGGTGCTGGGATTGAAAATTTTTGGGACAAAAGTACCCTCACCTTTAAAATGGTTTCGGCGTCCGTCTCCTGCGTTGTTGCTGCCGTCCCTATCGCACCTCCTCATGTCGTCTTCTCCTCTCTCTCTCTCTCTCTCTCTCTCTCTCTCTATATCTTCCTTCCACCGTCGTGTCCAGTCGCATCAAGTCATCTAAACCCCTAATCAATGAAGCTTCAAACAGCCACTGCAGAACCAGAATGACAAATCTCACCAAGAGGAACAGCAGCATAGACATAGAGAAAGAGACGTGACGACGGTGGCGCTGGGAGTTGACGGAGAGAGGCGATGACGCACAATGGAAAACGGAAAATCGAAAGAGTGGCAGAGGATGGTGGGGACGACGGCTAGAGATGTTGTAGAGCAACTGGAACAGCGGCGGATGATAGAGGTGACGGCCACAAGGCATGGGGCGGCAGAAATGCGAGAAGATGAAGGAGAAGAACGGCGATTCCATTCTCACCAATAGTGTTGGAAGTTCAGGCAAGGATATTTTTGCCTTCTCACATTTCAGGTCTAATTATAAAATAAAATTAGTGAAATAATTCCTTCTAATTACTTCATACCAAACATAACCTTCATTCCTAATCCCAGATCCAATCCCAATCCCATTTCCAATCCATTAAAATTAAATCTACGTGCCAAAAAGGGCCTTAGTTCCAGACAATCTGCTCCAACTCTGCCGCAACCGTGGTTCTGTGTTGATTGGAGCAAGGCAGCCGAAAATGGAAGGAAAAAGGAGGGAGACGGTATTTAGTCGGAGTGGAATCTCTCCATGGCTTCCCTCATGATTGGATATTTCAACAAGAACAATAAGATTACCTTGGTCTTTGAACACAAAGTCTCTATGTCAAAAATCATCCTCCTCTCTCATGGAAACAAAGGCTCGAGATGTGCATAACTGATACAAGATTGTAGAAGGGCTGAACTGAATTGAAAAGGCCAATTCTTTTTTAATGTAAACAACGATGCCTTCTTTACTCAATGGAGGCGCAGTGGAGAAAGGGCTCAATAGAGAGATTTCGCACCGATTTGGATCCATCATTTGGATGAGCTTAACTATGGTTTGACAGAGCCCCAACGTCAGACGCAGTCACATTCTAATTCCTTCACAAATGATGAGGGCGCAGTATGCTTTAACATTATACTCCTCCGATCCTTAATATAAGACCCATTTAACTAATTTGATTAGATTAAGGAAGTTAGATAAGTTAGTTAATTATAAGAAATGTGATACGTTTTTCCTAAAACACCATAATCATCTTTCTTAATACCACATCTCCCTCTTCTACTTGATTATAGTTGAGGGAGTACCCATAGGGGTAATTTAGAAAAAATTGATAAATATGATAAATGGGTCTTATATTTAGGACCAAAACCAACTCAATAATTAGGTCTTATATTAAGAACTGGAGGAGTATATAAAGATGCGAATGCTTGTTCCTCTAACGGTAGTGTTTATGTTTAATGTTATATACATTCCTTATTCTTAATTACTACTCCCTCCGTTCCTTATTATAAGAGACATTTGGTGCTTATAGCATGTTCCTATATATAAGAGACACTTAAAAGTTATCTCTACTTTTTTGTGTTGATTTCCTATTTTACCCATATTTATTGTCTCCAACTCACACTCTCTCTCCTTCCCACTTCTCTTTTTTTTAATAAATTACAATTGTTCTCTCTCCTTATTAATGAGGGCATTCTTGGAAAAAAAATTATACTTTTTACATATTAATTGTTCTTAACTAATTTTAACTGTTTTTTTTATCAACGTAATTCGGTTATTCGTCTCTTATAATAAGGAACGGAGGGAGTACTTCCGATCCTACTTATAAGAGCTAGTTAGTTAATTTAAGAAGATTAAGAAAAGAAGTTAAGTTAGTTATTTGTAATACATAGGTGTTATCTTTTCTAAAATATCCTTGCTAATCAAGTGTATTGGCTAAAACTATTATTGTTAGAAGGACTACCTTGAAAAAAATACATAAATATGAGAAACAAAGTGGACTGGGGTCTTATATTTAAGATCAAAATAAAAGTCAAACAAGGTCTTATATTAAGGACCATAGGTAGTATAACGGTAGTTCTATTTTTGCTCGTCACTTATTTTCTGGTCTATGGCTTCAATCAGTTTAACCTATGTCAAAGAAACGGGCCAGCTTATTTCTCTTCTAATATTTTAATCTTTTATTTGTTTCTATATGTCTTCCTTTTCTTCGTACATTTTTATGCTATCTTAATTTTGTTGACTATACACGCACACTCAATGAATGAGACCTTACTTCTGAAACCTATTAGCTAGCTTGAAGTGGCTAAAATTGATTATTTTAATTAATAGATTAAACAAATTGATACTGAAATTTATTACATAGAGATTGAAACACAGTAACACAATAAACAAGATGATCCCAAACCACACTACTTTGATCTTGAAAACAAACCAAAAATTGGATTGATACTAGTAAAGCCCCCATCAATGGCTAAATTATGCCCACTTATGTACTTGGATTCATCACTTGCCAAATATAGCGCAGCTCCAGCCACCTCTTCCTCTTGCAGATAAACCCCTTCAAGATTGGAATAAATACTCGAGCATCCATCATCATCTAATTTGAAGAAATCTTTTGCAGCAACATTGGCAATGAAATATGGAGACACACAGTTCACTCGGATCCCATATTTCCCAAGTTCAGCAGCTACGTTCTTGGTGAGACCCACCAAGCCATGCTTAGAACTGGTATAAGCATGAGTTGCCACTCCTCCTACACTTGAACAAACACTTCCCACGTTTATAATGCTTCCCTTTCTTTCAGGAATCATTACTTTGGCAGCATGCTTGGTTCCCAAGAAAGGACCCGTTAGATTCACACTAAGAACCCTTTCAAATTCGCTCACTTCATTATCTGCAATGCTTGGCTTAGCTTCATTTATTAAGACAGCATTGTTGACCATTATGTCAAGCTTTTGATACCTAGAAATAGCAGTTTTCACCGCGCAGTTTCAACATCGAATTCTTTTGTCACGTCGCAGTGGGCGTACGAAGCATATTTGGATCCAATATCATTGCACACTGCTTGCCCTAGTTCGTCTCGTATGTCTGCGACTATGACCTTTGCCCCATGTCTAGTGAAGAGCCTCGCCATACATGCTCCTATTCCCCTAGCCCCACCTGTGATCAGTGCTACCTTCCCTTTTAATCTGCACACATATATCCAAAGGGTCAAAAGTAACCTTGAATTAAGTATAATGTTTTAAATAACAATTTTTCTTGAGCATTTTCAAATCTCTTCTCATTTTTCATCTTGCCTCACAAATTAACAAGTTAAAATTTCGGAAAATGACAAGTTGATTTCGAGTTTTACCAGTTCTTTGTTTCATATATATTATAAATCCGGGAGTTCGACACTTCATAGGGATACTATGTGAACAAGTTATTTCACTAAAAATCAATTGTCCATTTACGAAAAGGAGGAACTTATCAAATTCATGAATTTTATTAAACCTCCGACTTTGCAACAGATTGATCTGATAGATAAATGAGTTAATAAATTGACAAACTGAGTAGGATTTTAACAAGTTCACCTTGGGTTATAATAATCAAGATGACTAGATAGTGATTTTATTTTGTCTTCTGCTTTCGAATAATCTTTATAGTCATGTAATAAATAAGAAAAACCCCACAGCAGTTAAAATACAATTCGGAGAATTGTTCTAGTTAATGCTATATGTCGTACGATGAATCAGGAAAGAAAATAGATTAAAAAAAAGAAAGAAAGAAAGAAGAGCCATATGGTTTCTGTGTGTGTGTGTGTGTCCGTGTGTGTACATGATTATACCTTGTTGCCTCTAGAGCGAGCTGCGGAAGACTTGCCATATCTTGCAGAAATAACAGATGTAGTAGTATTGATAGCTTCAAAGGGACTCTGAAGTATTCTTATTTTGAAAGATGAAACTATCTATGAAAACCTCCCTAACTTTAGTGCATATATATACACACAACCATCTTAAGATGAAATTTGGCATCCTCTTCGAGGAATCTTCCTTATCTATTCTTATCACGTGGTCGGTTAGAGATAAATTGTTTGGTTCCAAGCATCTTCACTGGGTCTTTGAATTTGATTTAAGTAAATTGTCACAATTTTTCTCTCGAAATAATGGCACACTGGTGCTTAATTTATTGGATTTTAAAATCAATATAGCACATGGGTCATGTGGCGCTTTGACCTTTCTATTCATTTTAATTTAATTTAATTCTATTGTTTTAATTCTTCTATTTACCACTTGATGAAATTAGTGGATTTCAATTTTTTATTAGTATTTTTAGTTTACCAATTATCAGTATAAACTTTTTTTTATTACATCAGTATTATAAACTTTTATTGTTGAATATTAAAACAATTTGTTTAAATATTTTGTCGTTTGCTGTTTATTTTTTTGTAAAATCATCAAATATATTTTGAACAAATTCACGCATCACGCTCCATAAAATATTTATTTTCAGTTTTTCATAATTGAAAAAAAATTCTATGAAATGTATAGTGATTTATTTTATTTACTATATATGTACATATTAAATTACATTTTAATAATATGATATTATATGTCTAGTTTCTGATTACAACACCGCACACACACACACACACATATATATATATATGTGAAACATTGTTAAAAATTGTAAACTAAAGGATAATGACGCGACAACGGTGACATCAGAATAAGATGACTGGGTCAGAAAACAGGGGCGGCAGCAGTTTCATCATCTTCCTTAAATTATTTCTTACTCTTTTTTTTTTAATTCATTCATGCCTAAGATGAATTTTTTTAAAAAAAAAATTAATGAGCTTAAGCAACAATATTATATATAAGATCATTTACAAATGTAAGACCAATGGCATTGCTTTTTTTACATGTCCAGATACAGCTTTATTTTGTTAAATTAAGAAAGTTTGGAGTTCATATATATTGTCAAATTAGGATGGTCAAATCATCATAAAATAGATGCTCAGGTCATGGAAATTTTAAATGATTCGTGTGAATCGTTAGTACATGTCGTCGATGAAAAGTAAATTTGTCATATATATCCAAAATACTCAATCAGATAACATGGAAAAAATAATCAACAATCGATGAAATATATAGAAGTCAGATAATAGGAGTCGATCTTGCATCGTATGATTATTATGCCATTTTATTTCTATAAAATTCTATTTTGATTTTAATATATTTATATAATTTGTAAATAATTTATTTCAAAAATAAGCATTAAGTATCATATTTAATTTTGTTTAATTGGAACTGTAGAGTTTGTTTTATAATTATTAATCAAAGTAACAGTTGACTCTCATATATAAATGATGACCTTTATCATATAAAAACCATTTTCCTAAGAGAAATATTTTTATATCATTACTACTGTTTTTTTCCATTATTTCTAATGTAAATGTCGTGAAGTTTTGTTGGTTAAATTTGATTTCGAACTTTGTCAAAATCATCAGAGTCAATTTTTTATATGCTTAATTGTTGGCGTGATTAAATGATGTAACGCATATGAATAATATGCCAATAAGCAGTAACGAAAAGTTTAGTTTAACGATTATATGTTCTGGTCAAAAAATTATTTAAAAATTATGCAAGCATAACAAGCCAAAACCTTGGTTGTTGGCATGAGTAATTGGGACTAATAAGTGTTTAAATAACCTCTTAGACAGTGGGCCGATAAGGGCAAAAGAATTTAAAAAGTACTAATTAAGATTCCTTAAAATTATAGAGATACGTATATATGCGTGTGTGTGTGTAGATCCCAACCATATCATTACTTGTAAGGATCGAGTTCTGCACTTCCTCGTTCACTTTTAGTTGAGAATTTGGGGGGTTAAATCTTCTGAACTATGGCTTTGACTTTAACCTTCGCAAGAGAAACAAACCAGCAGGTATCTATTTCTTCCTTTTTTCTTTTTTCTTTTTTTTTTGGATAAGCTTCTAATCTGTCATTTCTATTTCCCCTTCTTTTTACATGCTATTTTAGTCACTTGATTGGATTCATCAATACTTCATCCTTTGACGATAATTAAACCCGTATGTTTGTACGAAACCTGAAATAAGCTATGTTGTTCACATCTCATAAGTAGTGTAGCTTTTAACCCCCATTTTTTATTTATTTTGAAAACTAGATTCGTTGGTCGTTAGTTACAAAGGGATTTGAGGGAGAGAACTCGGGACTTGATCACTTAAACTTACCATTTACTTGTTATGAGATTTTTTTTTATAATTATATTCATTTTTAGGACTACATAGTGATTTTCCCTATATATTTTGTTGATAATACTCCAATAAAAATTATTAAAAGGAGGGTTATTTTTTTAAAATAACTACATATTTTTACATATAACCAACTTATCTAATTTTCATAATCTATACAAATTAACCTTTATATTTAAGACAACCAAGTACTTATATTTTCTCCATCTGATTCTCCCTCCCTCTGGTTTCTTAAAAGACTAATTTTTTTTTCTCCCCTCACCTCTATTTTTTGAACCAAACATAGTTTCTCCTACCTTATCCTCCCCTCCCTTCTCCTCTTTTTGAAAACTTTCCAACCAAACAGTACGCTAATGTAAGAAATGATAACAGGTTCGTGTCGTTCCTTTGTCATTAAGTTTTCCCTTATATATATTGTACAAGATATCTAATGAGGAATAGTTTGCCCAAAAAAAACATATAATAAGAGAATAAAAATTTAAAATATAGTGTGGGAGAGGGAGAAGGTGGGGAGAGATGCTTAGATTGGGGAGTCTGCCACATGCACGCACCTGCTTTTGTATTTTCATTTCCTTCATTTGTGATTTGAAGAAACTAGGAGCAAGAGATATTTTGATGTTTTTCAAAACATACTATTTAAATTTTCTATTTTTTAATTTTTTTACGCTCTATGGCCTTGTCGTCTGGTAGGTACTTTTCACAGGAAATTCTTGTGTGAAGGCAGTCATCTTAAACAGGTCTCATAAGCTGAATAGTCTGAATCACGAAATGGTTAGTCGAGTTTGCTTCTGTTAATTAGCTGTCTCTCATCTATTTTCTCTCAATACATTGTAATCTATTCTTTGGATTCTAATGTACATAGAAGCAAAATACTAAAAACAATTCACTTTACTCTTAAATATATCTAAAATTCCAAATCCAATGCACTTTATTTATTAAATTTACAGCTTCTTTCAAACTATATCTCTATTAATGTACAGGCTAGGGGAGTCAGCTGCCCCTTGTCAACTGCGCCTTAATTTTGGAGTTCTTCTCAAATATTTTTTTTTTTTGCTATTCTTTTAATTATTAAATTCTAAATAAAATGAGTGACATTTAGATATTTTATTTGAAAAAAATGGTTTAGTTTTTAATTTTTTAAAAATTTTCAAAGATTTTACACCCCCAACTCTTAATGTACGTATTAGACGAAGGGTTTTCATATGAGACAATTTTCATTATAAAATATTGAAGAGGATATGCCAAGAAAACCAACATATATTTTTTTTATATAAATTAAATAACTAAATCAACTAATTTTTTTAATTTTTTTAAAATTAGTTGTCTAGCTTATTAACGATTATTGGATGGAATATATTGTTTGAACTTTGGACTTCCTATTTATAGGTTTCTATACAAAATTTAAAAAAAAATCATGAATAGAAAATTGCGTAATAATTAGAAGCCAAAGTCCTTGATTTTGACTCTTATTTAGAACAATTTTCTAGTCAAGATTAACTCTAATTTTTTGAAATTTTCCCCCATACAAAAGATTCCCATACCTGTCCATATGAAAGTGTCAATTTGTCTACAATTAAAAGATCAGCTGGGGGAAGCAACTTGGAGAACAATAAATCATTTATTAAATGCTAAAGGACGTTGAGTCGAACATTAATCAATGATTTCTCTCTCTATTTTTGCAGATAAGTCTGACGAAGGAGAGATTGACGTTGTATGAGAATGACCCATCTATAAAACTGATAATTTTAAAGGTAAATGAGCAGTTGCAGATTTCTCGACCGTATAATATAATATCTTTCATTGTTTAAATTTAAACAAATTTTGGATGCTGATATAATAGAAGAATTAAGAAAAATAGAAGTATAAGCATAATTCTCATATAGGGTATGAGTCTCGAAGACTCAAACGTTCTTCAACCCGATAAAATATAACTCCATAACATATATAGACTTTTCTTAATTATTTCACCCAAAAAAAAAAAAGACTTTTCTTAATTGAACTATATTCCTAACATCGTACTGATATCTTATGTCTACATTAGTAGTTGCAATTATATACAGAAAGCATTTCTATTGTATTTGAACACAGGCCAATGGAAAGGCTTTCTGTGCTGGTGGTGATGTGATATCAGTAGTTACTTCTTCAATTGCGGGTAGGTACAGTGCTTATTAAAATTCAACATGTTCTTCATATTGCATGAAGGTTAATTAAAAAAGTGTTACTATTATAATATATATATTGCGTGTCTTCATGTGATTGATCTTCAAAGATATTCGTCTTTAAAATAACGTTGTTGGAAATAGGACATTGGACTTATCCAGCAAGCTTTTACAAGAAACAACTTACATTAGACCATTTGATAGCAACCTACAAAAAGCCAGTGGTGAGCTTTCTAATATGCCAGCTTAATTAATTTCTAAGTTATAATCGTATGAAAGAGAAATTTAATGGTTTAATTATTAGGGAAAACCATATTGAAGGTACCTATACTTTCTCTCAATTTTTAATTTGGTACCTATGTGTTTTTTTCCCTTTAATTAAACATTTAATTTTATCTTTTTAGCAACATTAGTTCTTATAACTTTGTTCTATTGATATTTTTAGTCTCTACATAAGGATTAATGATGTTAATAGAGGAAAAATAAAGATTTAGTTAAGAACAAAAAACACATAGGTACCAAATTGAAAATTGAAAAAAAGTATAAGTACCTCCAATATGGTTTTCCCTAATTATTAATATGAAGGTGTCTCTTATTAATGGGGTGGTTATGGGAGGAGGTGCCGGTCTATCTATGAACACTAGTTTTAGAGTTGTCACCGAAAGAAGTGTATGTATAATCTTTTCTTTTTCTCTCATACTTCTTTTGATCTTATACACTACCTCAGATTCTAATTGTACGGCCTCATTTGTAGTCTACGAACGAGATCTACAAACGAAACCTTATAATTAGGACTGAAGATAGTATATTAGACTTGTTTTAGAAGAAAGTCATGATCTTTAATATAAATCGGTTTTCATTGCATTTGTTTTTGCGGTATTTAATGAATTATTTTGAAAATGCCTTCCTACCACTGCAAGTATTTAATGATAATATTTGTGGGGACAAATATAAGATATGCATTCAATTTTAAGACAATTTTATATTCCTTCAGCTAATTTAATTACATTGATTTCAGTAAATTAGAAGTAACTTATATATAATATCAGAAAGAGTATTAAAAAAAATTAAAAGCTGAACTATCATAATTTATTTTGAACAGTACACAACTTCCATGAGCTGTTATACACATTAGTAATTAATAATTAATAACTAGATACAATAGTATGAATATTTATGTTGTGGTCATAGGACTAATATTGCATTATGTTTTAATTAATATAGGTGTTTGCTATGCCAGAAGTATCAATAGGACTTTTTCCAGACGTGGGTGCTTCATACTTTCTCTCAAGGCTTCCTGGCTATTTTGGTAATATTCTAATCTTTATGTCTGCTATTCCATAGCAACATTTAATTTTGACAATTCAATACAGAAAAATATAATTCAGCTAAAAAATCAGTCAATTCATGATATCAAATGAAACCACTGTAAATTAGACCAAAGCCGTTCAGCCAAACAGACAAAAAAAAAAAAAAAATCAGTGAACCGAACTTCAATCCGTTCCATTAGACTCTAAAAGTCGAACAAAATTGAAACTGATTGAAACTAGTCAATGCAACAAAAAATGAGAGTCTATTTACTGGTAGAACATTCTCCTCTTCTCAGTTATACCAAGCTAGAGTCTATTGTAATTGTGATAATTATTTTAATTGGGGTTTCATATATAGGAGAGTACTTAGGATTAACTGGAAGACGTTTAAATGGAGCAGAAATGGTTAAATGTGGCTTAGCAACTCATTTTGTTCCTTCCAAGGTATGCCTGTATGTGCGCATAATATAATATTGTATCTCTGCTTATTGCTGACATTACATTGGAACCAGTAAAGTTCACATCTCTTTCCTGTGTGCATCAGAGCCTAAATTTGCTGGAAAATGCCCTACAGTCTCTTTCAACATCAGATATTTCAACAATTACTGCATTAATTGATAAATTTACTGAAATCGTTTATCTTAAGGAAAACAGCCCCTTGAAGAGGTAATTCTGTTGTTATTTTGTTTCTTACTATACATGAGCTTTTCTTATGGTATGAGACGCAACTAAATGATAGGACCAGTGCTTTTCTTATAGCATAAGACACAATGATTACAGTAAAAATTCTTCTGACGAATTAACCAGGCTGGAAACGATCAACAAATGCTTCTCGAAAGGAACCGTGGAGGAAATTATTCTATCCTTGGTATGCATAGTTGAATTTGATGTTCATTTTTCATTCTTAGGGGGAAAAAGTCAAAGTCGAGATTTCTTAGACAAGAATATCTTGCTTGAATGTCATGATTTTCGCAGGAAAAGGAAATAGAAGTTGATGGAGCAGAAAAGTGGATGACAGAGGCATTAAATTACATGCGTGAATCTTGTCCTACAAGCCTGAAGATATGGCTTAGATCAGTAAGTATATATGCGAAGATGCGTATATCATTACAAATTACATTCCAAATTTACAAATTAATTAAGTTGAATCAACGTGATTAGGTGAGAGAAGGCAGAGTACAAAGTATTGAAGAATGCCTTAAACGAGACTACAACATTAGCTGCCATTTCTTGCGAAGAACTGTCAACAATGATTTCTATGAGGTCAGAACTATTTGACAAGAGATGTCATTGACTTTGGTGTTGTTTAATTGTTGAACTGTCCTCTTCACTTCTCATAATTGAAAGCATCAATCTATCATAATTATATTCTATTGTGGCATGCTTGATTTAATTTGAACACCTCTAAAAAGCCTGGATTTTCTTGCAGGGTTCAAGAGCAAAGCTGTTTGATAAGGACAACAAGGCTATGGTAAGACAGAGGGAAAGATAGAGGCTTTCAATATTTGATTCTGATTATAATATTGCATAACAATTGTGGTTGATTTTGTTTTGTGGGTTGGTGTTTGGATTAGTGGGACCCTCCAAAGCTGGAGCTGGTTACTGAAGAAATGGTAAATCAATACTTCAGGGAGGTTGAGGATGAGAATTGGGAGCGTCTGCAACTTCCTCTTAGATCAAACTTCCCAAGCAAGCTGTAGACTGAAGCCACGTGGAACAGTAATGGACGGGCCTTTTAGAAGGATATCTATAATATTTGGATAGGGTTAATGTCTTGGGTATTGTGCTTATTATTTTAGTCTTGTTTTAGTTAATAATGGTGCACAATATAGCAAAAGAATGATAGCGGTCATGTTACCTTTTATGTAGAGAAAGTAGAGGAAATTAAACTGATTTTTATTATTACACCAGGAGGAGGAGGAGGAGGTGGTTCTGAACTTTGAACTTCGACCTTCACCTTATTATTCTATCTGAGCTAGCTTGAAGTGACTAGGACGGATTATTTTAATAGACTAAACGAAATCCGATCCATAGCTAAAATTTATTACGACACAGTTACACAGACAAATAACTAACAACCGATGGTCCCAAATAACATTACTTTGGTCTTGAAAACACACCAAAAATTGGATTGATACTAGTAAAGCCGCCATCTATGGCCAGGTTATGCCCACTTATGTACTTGGATTCATCACTAGCCAAATATAGCGCAGCTCCAGCCACATCTTCTTCTTGCAGATAAATCCCTTCAAGATTGGAATAAACACTAGAGCATCCATCATCATCTAATTTGAAGAAATCTTTTGCAGCAACATTGGCAACGAAATAAGGAGACACACAGTTCACTCGGATTCCATATTGGCCAAGTTCAGCAGCCACATTCTTGGTGAGACCCACCAAGCCATGCTTAGAACTGGTATAAGCATGAGTTGCAACCCCTCCTACACTTGAACAAACACTTCCCACATTTATAATGCTTCCTTTTCTTTCAGGAATCATTACTTTGGCAGCATGCTTGGTTCCCAAGAAAGGACCCGTTAGATTCACACTAAGAACCTTTTCAAATTCGCTCACTTCATTGTCAGCAATGCTTGGCTTAGCTTCATTTATTGAGGCAGCATTGTTGACCATTATGTCAAGCTTTTGATGCTTAGAAATCGCAGTTTTGACCGCAGTTTCAACGTCAGATTCTTTTGCAACATCGCAGTGCACATAGGAAGCAGATTCCACACCGATATCGTTGCATAATGCTTGCCCTAGTTTGTCTCGAATGTCTGCGACTATGACCTTTGCCCCATGCCTAGTGAAGAGCCTTGCCATGCATGCTCCTATTCCCCTAGCCCCACCTGTGATCAATGCTACCTTTCCTCGTAATCTGCAGACATAGCATGAGGTCGGTGGACAATTTTCACGGACCGATTTTTACCTTACCTTGTGTTTGCAAAAATTAGATTAAATAAAAGTCATTTTTCCTACCACTAATCTAAATATACACGTAATCTTAAATTAGAGAATCCAAATCTTTTACATTCATACTGTGAAGACATACAGAATATTTGAATAAAAATAAAAGGAAAGTTAATTTGATGATTGATTACATGAATACATAGATAACAATAGATCCAATTTCAGTGCGCAAGAAAGAGGGGTTGGCTTCCTTGCTCTCTTGCCGCTCCCCATTCGCGCCTTGATTCCCTTTTGAGACACACACATACACATTTTGAATGAACAAAGACAAACTTATCCTATCAATATCATAAGATCCCCACAGAATCAATATGATATTTGTTTGTAAAAAGGTTCAAAAATATAAACTGGAAGAATTTCACTAAGATAATTAAATACGCCACAGGCTTAAGGACCAAACTCTGTGTGTGTAAAATTATAATACTACTTCTGATCCAAAGTATAATAGTTAGTTTATAGTCCAAAGGTAGCAAATATATTTCATCACGAGTAATAATAAGAAAGGTGTGGTACATGTTATAAATTTTACCAATCATAGTTTAAATTTAACACCATTTCACGTTAGAATGATTTGAGAAAAAAAAAATTCAGCTCCATCAATCAAATTTCATACAAAAGTGGAGAAATGCGTCATAAAAGGCAGAGTGAGAAAAAGAAAAGTTTAGTAAATATGATCCCTCCACTAATCATCTTTTCCCTACCTAAGGTACAATATGCTTTTCTTTACGCCTACATGTTCTCTTCCCAATGTCTTGCCCATCGCCATTCATCAACCATCAACCATCCACCACCCAATACTCTCTCTCTCTCTCTCTCTCTCTCTCTCTCATTTCTGCAAGTCCAAATATCGACAACCCAAGTCACTATTCTAATTTTTATATTTTATTTTCCATATTCGGCGTCTTCCTAAGATTCGGCCGATCAGAGAAAGGCTCTCCTCTTTAATGAATCATCGGCTTTGGTCCAGGCATTCGTATCTGGCCACAAGAAATGGGAACCAGAAAGTATCAAGCTATTACAGATTTCCCTTCTTTGCATGGAGATTTTTATTTTCCGCTTCTTTTGTTCTCTTCTCTTCTTCCTCCTCCTCCTCAAAAGTCAAAATCCGCTTCAGTTTCCGGCTCAAAACAGCTCAACTCAATCCAACTCCAACTCATAAAACGGGTTAACCAATCAGTCCGAGTCGGAAAAGAAAATAGATGAACCACCCAAACAGTTAAAATACTATGAACAACAATTGTTCTAGTTAATGCTATATGGTATGATAAATCAGAAAAGAAAATAGATGAACAAAAAAGACAGAGGAGCCATATGATTATATATATTTCAGTGCGTGTTTATACCTTGTTGCCTCCAAAGCGAGCTGCGGAAGACTTGCCATATCTGCAAGAAATTACAGATGCAGTATTGATAGCTCCAAAGGGACTCTGAAAACCTTAGAAGACGAAACTATATACATATATACACACACATATGAAAACCTCCCTGACTTACGTTAAGGATGAGAATGATGCACAGATGCCATTATTACTGGAAACACTGTACCCATTGTCAGGGAAGCGCAATGGGCTTAATGCAAGCGTCCTTGAAAGTGATGTCATCAAACAGGTCTCATTTTCAATGCTAAATTTTTATGAAATAAGAGACAAGGATTTTGAAGTTGATAAAAAAATACTGCTTAAATTTAAAAATCTCAAATTAAAAATTATTATAAAATATATTATCATTTGTTTTCCAAGTATAATCAATTATTATTAAAATATGGCAAACTAATTTAAAATTTTAAAATTAAAAAGTTATTTTTAGGATTTTTTTAAAAAAATAAAGTTGATAAGACCGTAAGAGGACAACGGAAGAGATGGAAAATCAGTTCTGAAGGTGATGTGACTATACATATAATTTACGATCCGATTTGCTAATATTGTGTATTTATCACTTAAAATAATTGATGTGTGTGCGTGGGAGTCAAAACTTGTTTTCCTCCGCGTTGTTTTCTTGTTTTTTCATTTTCTCTATATCCAAAAAAGTGATATCAAACAGGTCTTTTTTTTTAAGCACTGGAACAGGTCAGGTTTAGAATGCTGAAAAAAAAAAAAGGGATACGAAGCACCAAGGAGGCAAGGACTTTGAAATAAAGCAGTTAAAATGACAGCTGGGGGGGGGAGTGAGACCCAAAGGTGATGGGGAGTGGGGAGGGGGGACTATACATATGATTTACAGGTAAGCATCCATGAGATGGCACTGAGACTTTAAATTTTGAAAGGATTAGAATGAAAATTTTTTTAAAAAAAATAATTCTTGGAAGGGTTAGAATGAAATTTTTTTAAAATAAAGTTCATAAGACCGTAAGAGGACAACGGAAGAGACGGACAATCGTTCTGAAGGTCATGTGACAACGCGTTTGTTTGGTTAAGCGGTAATAACTCGTTTAAACTCAAATAAATGATTATAGAGTCTATTTATCTTGTTTAGGGAAATTTTTTTGAATTCCCGGTTAATAATGATTTCAGTCCCAATCGCACGTTTGAGGATAAGCTATTGGGAGTAGCTTTGCGATTGGAAAATCACGATAGAGGTTTCAACATTTAGGATTTCTCCTATTTACCCTTATTAATAAGTATTGTCAAATTAAAATTATATTTAAATAATAATCATTAATTATAAGAATTATATTAAATTATATTTCTCTTATCTACCCTTATTGTACTTATATGTTTATTAGTGATTTTGATAAATAAATCCAAACATAATCCTATTCTCAATACCACTAATAAAAAAAAGTATCCGAACAAAAATCACAATTAGCCAACATTACTTTTAACCAGTGTCACTTGTAAAAATTACAATCACGTAAAATCACAGTTGTTTATCATTAATCTAATGGGCACTATGCATATAATTTATGATCCGATTTGCTAATATTTTGTATTTATCATCTAAAATATGGTTTTTACTTAAAATAATTGATGTGTGCTCGCGTGTGAGTCAAAACTTGTTTTCCTCCTCCACGTTGTTTTCCAAAAAAGTGATATCAAACAGGTCTTCCTCCACGTTGTGCTCGCGTGTGAGCACTGAAGCAGGGCAGTTTAGAATGCTGAAAAAGGAAAGAGGATATGAAGCACCTAAGAGGCAAGGACTTTGAAATAAAGCAATTAAAAGGACAGATGAGGGGTGGGGGGAAGTAAGACCTAAAGGTGATGGGAGTGGGGACTGTACATGTAATTTACAGGTAAGCATCCATAAGTAGGTGCTGAGACTTCCATTTTTGGAAGGATTTTCCTCCACGTTGTTTTCAAAAAAGTGATATCAAACAGGTCTTTTTCTTGTTGAGCACTGAAGGAGGTCAAGTTTAGAATGCTGAAAAAGGAAAGAGGATATGAAGCACCTAAGAGGCAAGGATTTTGAAACAAAGCAGTTAAAAAGACAGATGAAGGCAAAAAAAAAAAAAAAGGTAAGACCTAAAGGTGATGGGGAGTGGGGACTATACATATGATTTACAGGTATGCATCCACGAGTGGGTACTGA